CTTAATCTCTAGACTACTAAGCCGGCGTGTCTAACTTCAAATGATCCACGAAATTGCGCCACCATTCACCATTATCTGTGTATAATGTCTATTGTATAATATTTAATTCTACAAACTTTGGAAAGAGGAATTTCATACTAGGACTAGCTTCAATTGACTCATGAATTCAACTATTAAATCATTAAAATCTCCACAAAACCCCTCTCTGATTATTATACATTCAAAGCATAACAAAAAGTTGGATCGATTAGTAACTTAAATAAGTCGAGATTATTTATTTACTTATTTTATTTAAACACATAAACATTGGTACAAGGGAGCACCAAATAGATATGCGCCACATGAATCATTCGATTTGTGTGAGGGCTGGGATACTGCCCGGGTGCCCAGACCGAAGCAGGTGGTTGTCTTAGGAGGCCACACCCCGAGCCTTGGACCTAAAGGTCTAACCCATAAGGCAGTGGAACATCGTAAGGAGATGCAGTCCCATGGTAGCCGGTGACCAACATTAGGTTCATACGCCATTTGTTTTCGCAGGATCATGGAGCCCATGTGCACCATTGGTTTAATGCGTCGGACATTCGTTTTTCGTCCTCTCAATTTCGTAGACAATACCCCCGCCACGAGAAGGCAGTGAGTATGACTTCCCTGGCATAGGCTGTATATGCGTGACCGAGTGAGGGCGGGTCCACTCCACTCTCGGCCATACCAAGGCATTTGGGGGCAATAAGTTGAGATAATTTAGTTTATTAATGTAACTTGCATTTTGTAATTATTCTTTGTAACAACGGGTAATCAAGTGATCCTAGAAAATGTGGATAATTATATTTATCTTATAAACAATTGAAAAAATCATTTGTAAGGGTTACCTGAGTCTTTCATTTGTTGATGTCAAAACCTGCAACTGATCAGTCTTTTGTAATATGTAGATCCTGTGTCTGCTGCCTTGATATTCCCATTAACTTACAAGCATTTTAAGCAATCAACAAAACCCAACATATCCTCTGTTTATAAAGGTGAATATTTGTTTTTGTTAAGAAATAGTAATACATATACCCTTCGTTGTAAGTGTAGTGAACGAAAACTCAGGTACGGTAAACTAATTTATTGTTTTACGCAAAATTACTCAGTGGCTATGTAAAACATGAAAGTCATACATTAAATACATCATTTGCATATCTTCCTTGAGTTGTCCTTTATATACTCCATCATTCTTTCAATTCTGTTGTTCTTTCGATTGCTCTTTAATTTCCTTTCTCTTCTCTATTTCAATCTTCTGCTAGCAGCCATTCTACTTCCGATTGGTGCCACATATTACTTATATCTGTCTACAGAATTAGCATACGCCACACATATATTATTCGTCTATGAAAGGGTCATTGAGATGGAAAATCACTGGGATCTCCTATATAGCAGGTCGCTAAAATCAAAAATGTAAACCAACGCATTTATCCTTGGAGCACCTGATTGCAATGGCATAAAAGGTCAACGCATTCAGTCCAAGCTATCAAAACACAAAATTGCACACTAGATGTAAATCGGCAATATAGAAATGTATTAGATCAGGGGTGAATAGCAGGGATTAACATATTCATTATGTGAGATAATATATTTTTAATGTAACTCGTTTGAATAGGGTATGTTGATATTATTCGATCTTAGCCTATACTGTGTGAGAGAGCCAGTCATACTGCTAAGCTGACCAAATCGAAGTGAATTGGAGTTCAAACTCAGGACCGACTAGCTAAAAACCAAGTTCTTTAAACGAATAAGCTATAACCTCATACTTAGACTAGACAAAGGTATTGTAGTGTCAGTTATTATGTTACGCCCACATACCCTATTCTAGCTACTGGACAGGCCAATCTATTAATTCTACTTGAGTCACATTTTGACCTTTTTATTATTCGCTTATCAATCTTGACTGTTTTTATGTAAGCGTATGTGTGTACACTTCTTATCCCATTCATCACATGTCTGTAGCTTATTTTTGTGACTATAAATATTGATTAACGCTTGGTTTAATTGAGTTGGCCCACATGCCTTCTCCACTGCGCGTCATCTCGCTTCGTTCCCCAATATTTTGTCGGGATCAAAGATTGTATGAAATATACGTAACGAAATTCATTCTCGCATCTGACTTATTTAATTCCGTTATTGACTAACGCAATTTAAGTCGATAAATATATACGAGGATTAACGATATATGTATCTCAATAGCAATCAGAAACGACCAAACTGGAGTCAGATCACGGGCCACTAAAGTACTGATCAATGTGACTCATTTCAAGTCATGCCATGTAAAGTCTTTTAATTTTATATCCTTCAAGTGATTTTTAGTTAAGTCTATTGAAGTAACCTGTAGAATGCTAACTCAGCGATTGGTAATACTTCTGTAGTCAATGCTATTCCGACGAGTTGATCTTATCTTTCTAATTGTTTTTTATCATTTTTATTACAGTGGTGGTTGTGCTTTGGTAAGCGTCGTTTCATGGATCAATCTTTAACACCATTGGGAGTTTTCTAAGAAAAGTGTGTTTTTTACATATACTCTGAGTATTTTATCGTTGCTTGTTTCTCTTCTATAACAGTAACTTTCAATTTTTCTAATCTAATATTTTTTATTGTTTACTTTAATAAACAGATTGTCAAATAAATTTTCACTTCTTATAATAATGATTATAGTATACCAATATCGTTCACAGCACGTATTGCGAATTTCCTCATATCACTTAAGTTCTAATGTTTTGATTGTTAATACTTGATCGCAAGGGTCAATAAATACGTTAGCGACAACTTCGTAATATTATGTCATAATTAGCAAAACTTATGTATTTAATGAATTTTTTGTGACTACTGTGTAATATTGTACTCGGAAATTCGTGTTAACTTAATTGTCATTCTAAGGTTGGTTCAACATCAGACAATGCATATCAACGTACACTAAGTTTAAAAATCGTTCCCTGAGACATAGTTCCATTGTATTTGAGCACTGATTTTATTTAATCCTTAAGAATATTATTAGGTTTATGGGGTTAGAAAAGATTTGATAAAAATATTCAAGAGCATAAATAAAGTCATATGTTGCTTACTAGTAAGACAACGCTTATGGTCATATGGGCGTTCACCAGGTAGCCCGCTTTCCTCCTATCCTTCGTGTTATATCAGCGTGCTTACTTTGAGATTCGCTTAGCTCTATGCTTTAGTCAAACATTCAATGCACTGTAGTGAATTTCCCCCGACATGCTAGTTTAGAATCAGTTTTAGTAACATAACTTCTTGGACGGATTGTAATCTGATTACCAAAGTCCCATTGTTCGTTTATTTTTTATTTGCACACATACATATGTCTCAGTGTCGGTCTGCAAGCCAGTGTATCTATCCTTGTGAATCATGTCTGGTCGTGGCAAAGGTGGTAAGGGTTTGGGCAAAGGAAGAGCCAAGAGACATCGCAAGGTGTTATGCGACATCCCGTTGTTCGTGGTGCGTTTAAGAATCGCGATATTTAAACGATGCCAACCCTTACTATTATCAATTACTTATTTGCTGTCCTGCGTGGTAGTACTGACAAGTAGTGAGACTTGGTAATGCAACTGACCATTCGAGTGCAGACTCGGGGAATTACGCTGCAACAACACTTCATCTTTGAAGATTGGTGGCACTATCCACCTACTCAGGACGAGGTACAAGACTTGAGCCTAGGGCCCAGTTGTTGGAAACATTGACCATTATTCCAATGTGTGGCAGTGCACATCCTTTCTTCCTGGAGTGCATGTTTACCACTTTCACCCAATGACTATGGAATCACATTTAGACATCATCATAAGTAATCCGGAAGTCACACCCAGCGAAATATCAGACTAATCACCGAACTCAGACACAAATACTTAACCTTTGAAGTGGAAGCCGGGCGCCTACTGCATAACTTCTCAGTCGAAGCTTGGAGTGAATATCACATGGCTTCTTTCGTTAGTTTAACACGCACTCTGACCTGCCATACACTACCTACGACAGATTGCTTACGGATGCATTCTGGGGTGGTGTCAACAAAAAGGTCCTAGACCACTTTCTTCGGATACGCAGCTGAGATCACCTTTAAGTACATCCAAACCTACATCTTCATGTCACAGAGCCACGTCATAAGATAATGAGAATTCAAACAGATCTCCAAACTTCAGTCCGCAAAGTGAGGACAAACAAGAACGCCGCCTTCACGTCAGTAATAAGTTCCCTCCTACTTTGGGTCGATGACCAGCTAGGACTACCGAGTTCCCCGCTTCTTTTATTCTCAGACGACGTGAGTTTGAAGAGTCAAGGTAAGCGACGCCGACCAGTCCAGCGCACCGGAGCACTGGATACACAAAGACCTGAGTTCGCATCCATAACTTGAGAATAACTGCCGACCGAGGAACCAGTCACCAAAGGTCTCCGGTCTGTCATACGCTTTGGACCATACATGCCAAGCCCAAAAATCGGGTGCCACCTCGCTAGGGACACTGACAACCGGCTCGCCGGACAAACCTTTTAACTGTACCCCATGACGATGGACTTGGATACTCGAACCATTAGCTTTATTAGGACAAAAGGTAATCTCGCTAGGTGTACCCCATCTCAAATAATGATCCGTGTCAACACACCCCACCTTTTTGCCCATTCGGGTTTATCATTTCCAAAGATCACCACAAGAAGCTTTTATTAACGTATGGTAAAGAAAAACTAACCCAGACACAATACAACAGCCCACTCGTCGAACATCTTCAGGGGTAGACTAGGTTTTTAGTGAGGTACCACAAAAATGAGAACAAACGAGGTGACTTGATGTTCATATAACCAGAAGCGTCCTAAATTGGGTATGACGTTAATTTAGTGACTTCAGGAAGCTAGGGTTAGAAATATGAAAAATAGAACCAGGTAATTGCACATTACGCATATTGGATGTGTACATAAACATTTATTAAAAATGCAAAATGAATGAACTGGTTGAATCCGATGAATATACATTAATATGAACCGGAACGAGATCGTGACAAAGAACCACGCCTATGTGCAGGACTTCTGGAGACAGCACGGTTGTCTCTCCGATCATTGCGCCGACTGCCTTTGCGTACTTCATCACCATTATCCATGCCGTCATGACTTGCCGACCGCGACCTGGTGGGAGACCTCGATCTTGATGCTGACCGATTGGGGCGCACGTTATTCATTCGCCTTCGTGAATCATCTCGACGGTCGTTAGGGCGACCGCGATAGTATGGTTCGACCCCTTTTTGTCTAGAATTGGAGTAAGATCTAGACACAGTAAGTAACAAACAGAAGATACTCACCTGGAACGGGATCTAGAGCGATATTTTCTCCCACCTCGATGAGGCTCGTCTCTTCTTTCTTTTAGACGCATCTCCGCAGGAGCTGTTAAGTGAAAGTCGAGAGAAAGCACATTAGTTAAGACACCAATACACAACAAGCTATAAGTAACTCCCTAGCTTTGCATAGTTAGTTGTACTAGTCGCACTCCCTTAGCAGTCTATGTAAGATGTTTCAAATATCCTTAAGTTATTTGGCTTTACAAGTCGAAAATCAATTACATAAATACATAAGACAAGGAACTCAGAAACTAAAGTATCCTTACTTTTACGATAACCTCGGGTAAACTCGACTTCGATATCGCGACCCATGAACCGTGTGTGGTCCATGTAGTAATGGGCATCTTCAGCGTCTCTAGGATTCTCGAACGTTAGGGGTTAGTTAAGGACACAAAAAAGCATTTATCAACCAAAATACTCACCAAAAAGTGACTTGAGACAGGATCCTATGTCATTGTACCTGGATTGATTGGGGGACTGCCCTGATTTTGTCAACTTAGATTTGTTAGCAAACTAATACAATTGGACTAGCTTGGCAGCTGCAATCGGTGACCAACTGATCCCGACAAATTGAGTTTGTGTGAAACTTTGTAATTTAACCAACTTGGAATTTTAATTGGATTGAGATTGTATACATGTGTTTTGACCACTGAGTACTTTGTAAGTATGCGAGCTGCCATATCCCTTGTTCAACTAGACTGATTGTTTATTTAGTGACGAACAAATCTATGATTATTGGTTGATTGTTTGAAACTGACTGGCAACTGAGCCGATCAATTGGGATCTATTGGTTATTTTGGCTTGAGTTTAGTCGTGCCTGTGAGACGAATACGGCAAACATTGAGATTAAGTGAATTGACGCGAGGGAAATGCAAAATGAAATATTACACTGCAAAAGGATATTCAATAAATGCGTAACCCTTCATTCTTCCAGTGAAGAAATCGAGGGGTATTGTTACGTCAACAATCCTGCCATAACGGCCAAAGCAGCGTCTTAAGTCGTCATGTCTAAAAGAGATAAGATTAATGTGGATGGACTACAAACCTGCATGTATCAGGGAGATGGCGAATATACAAAGAAGAACTGCGTCGAGGCATCCTGCGACTAAGGCAACACAACTCCTCCTATGGCAGTAATGATTTAAACAACTAGCATTTGTTCAATACATATTTTGTGAACATTAAAAATATTGCAACTTTCTCCCTGAAGAAATATAAAGCCAAAAACCTGTATTAGTTTATCCTCAGTATAATTTTATGCGCATTCAGTGTGTTCTTAAGTGGATTCAGTTGTTATGCCATTGTAGTGAACTCTTATTAGGCCTGTAAGGATAAGCTATTCTCTTTTAAAGTATTGTTCACATATCCTTGCAGTCCAAGGAAATAATTCTCCTGAATCATGGGTGTTAGTGGCAAAATCAAAGCTGCCAGGGCATTTCGGCGACTGGATGTAGGTTAGTTCGTTACTGACATTACTCAACGAACATTGGGGTATGGCTACCTAAGAAGTGATAGAAATAGATCCTGAAAACTGGTTGATCTTTTTGTACCCGCTCATTATGATGTGTATGTTCTTTTTTATGTGCGATTCTTGTGGAAATCGGAACTGCAAAGTCTCTAGTTTTTGACTTGATCCTTTAGGCTTTACATTCCTTGGAAACTTCAATGATACATGAGACAGGGCGTCTGTCACTACACTGTTTGCGACAGAAATGTGTCGTATGCCTGACGTAAACTGTGAAATGTAGTCTAGTTGTTGAAATGCGTGAGAGCATTACCGGTCTGAAGACGGGCACATACAGAACGTAAAAGGTTGATGGTTGCTAAATAGAATGAGTTCTTGGCCTTCCACAGTATTGAAATTGCCGTACAGTGCAATATATGGTTAGGAGCTCCTTACCGAAGGTGCTATACCTCGAGTCAGTGTCTCGCGATCGTCTTAAGAGATATGCCAAAGGCTTCAGCTCTTGTTTACTAATTGTTGCAAGACTCCAATTACTGAATCAGATGGGTCGACTCCAATACTAATGGGTACTTCGATATCCTGATATGCGTGCATAGTTATTTTCGCGATAATTTCCTTAAATGTGGAAAATTCAACTTCCGCGTTGTCGTTGCCCATCAAATTGATGTGATTCGCATCCCTACGAAGTTAGTCTGTTAAAGGTCTCGAGAGAGACGCACAATTCGGTATGAACTGTTTAAAGAAACATACCAAGCCGTTGAACGTACGTCATTGCTTGACTGCGGTCAGTTCCAGAGATCCTGAATGGCCTCCTTTATGCTTTTCAGAGGACGTATGCACTGTAAGTCAATGGTATGTCCGAGAAATTTCAGGGAGTCCGTTCAAATCCGAATGTTTATAGTAATGCTGTATTTTTACTATCGTTCGAAAGACGTCATCGATGAATCTCTAGAAAGTATCTTCAGCATTTGTTAAACCGAAAGGCATGAGCTAAAATTCGTGTAATGTGAAAACAGTGATGATAGCAGTTTTAGGAATGTCGTCTGCATTCATAGGAATTCGGTTATATGCTCTGACCAAACTGATTTCCGAAAAAACAAATGTTTCTTTTAACGTGGCTGTTATGTCGTGGATGTGTGGCAAGGGTTAACGATCAGGTGTGGTTTTCGCGTTCTGTCACCGAAAGTCACCAGTTGAACGCTATTTATTGCTGTCCTTTGCCGGGATCATTTGCAAGTGAGATGCCCATGGGCTGTTCGATGTCTGACTGGGTATAATCTACAAGAAGAGAAAGAAGTTACACAAACAGATAAACTAGTGTTCCCGTCTACTAACCTCCGTTTGCACGTGTTGATGAGTAGATTATGATGTTGCACCAGGTCTATACCAATGATTGGCATGGAAAAATTTACAATAACAAAGATCCAGTGCGTGTGCTTGCGTAAACCCACGTTAAGATACCCATATTGCTTATCTTACGTGGCAGTTGGTTTTCCAATTTTCGCCCGTAATTTAAAGACTGGCTCGCGCAGGCCGTCTTTGGAATTTTTGGGAAGAACGCGGACGTCTGAGACAGTATGGAAGAGATATCGAACGTTCGCCGTCACACCAATCACGTACAACAGACGGCTGTGTCCACCGACTACGGTTGCCGCCAAGGCATTACTTACTTACTTACGCCTGTTACTCCTCGTGGAGGAACATAGGCCGCATTCTCCACCCAACCCTGTCCTGGGCAATCCTTTCCAGCTCCTTCCAGTTGTTGTTCGTTCTTTTCATATCTGCTTCTATTTCCCGCTCAATCGTATACACAAGGCTACATGGATCTCACCGGACCACACTACAGATAACCAGATAGATCATATTTGCATCAACAAGAAATTCCGAAGGACAATGGAAGATGTGAGAACCAGGAAAGGTGCTGATATAGCTTCAGATCACCACTTAGTTGTGGCCAATTTATAACTGAAGCTAAAAAGGAACCGGACAACTGGACAAACAGCAATACAAAGGTTCAATACAGCCTTCTTTCGAGATACTGACAGACTTAATGAATTCAAGATAGCTCTCAACAACAGGTTCCATGTCTTACAGGATCTACTGAAGGAAGAAGAAACTACTATGTAGGACAACTGGAAAGGCATCAAATAAGCATTAACTTCAACGTTTCAGGAGGTTCTGTTCTGGGCCTCAAGAAGCATTATCATAAGGAATGGATCTCTATAGAAACTCTGGACAAGATCAAAGAAAGGAAGATCAACAAAACAGCAACTAACAACAGCCGAACACGAGCAGAGAAAGTCCAAGCACAAGCTGAGAACATAGAAGCAAACAAGCAAGTGAAGAAAAGCATTAAAGCCGACAAACAGAAACACGTGGAACAACTAGCAACGACGATGGGAAAAGCTGATAGAGAAGGAAATATGAGACAGCTTTACGATACAACGAAGAAACTATCAGAGAAATACAGTAAACCAGAGAGACCGGTCAAAAACAAAAAAGGCAGGCCAATCACTGAAATTCAACAACAGTGGAACAGATGGGTAGAATACTTCGAGGAACTCCTGAATAGGCCGGCTCCAATGAATCCACCGGACATCGAAGCAGCACACACAGATCTTGCTATAGACGTCAACCCACCAACGATGGAGGAAATCAGAATGGTCGGTCATCGGACAAATCAAGAGCAGAAAAGCAGCAGGCCCCGATAACACACCAGCTGAAGCACTGAAGTCAGACATCGAAATAACTAAAAACATGCTTCACCTTCTATTAAAAAGATTTGAGAGGAGGAACGAGTGCCGATGGACTGGAAAGAAGGACACCTCGTCACGATTCTAAAGAAAGGAGATCTGAGCAAATGGGAAGACTACAGAGGCACTACACTACTGTCAATACCAGGGAGATTGTTTAACAGAGTGTTGCTGAACCGGATGAAAGATGCAGTAGACGCCCAACTTCGAGATAAACAAGCTGGATTCCGTAAGGATCGATCGTGCACAGACCAAATTGCGACACTACGGATCATCGTCAAACAATCAGTTGAGTGGAACTCATCACTATACATCAACTTCATTGATTATGAAAAGGCATTCGACAGTGTAGATAGGAGGACATTATGGAAACTTATTCGACATTACGGAGTTCCTGAGAAGATTGTCAACATTATCCGGAACTCATACGACGGACTACAGTGCAGGGTCGTGCATGGAGGACGGCTGACAGATGCATTCCAAGTAAGGACCGAAGTCAGCCAAGGCTGTCTACTCCCTCCCTTCCTCTTTCTTCTGGTGGTCGACTGGTTTAAGAAGACCTCGAAATCTGAAGGAAAACGCGGAATACAATGGACAACTCAGAATAAATTAGACGATTTGGACTTCGCAGATGACCTAGCCCTCCTATCGCGTACACACGAACAGATGCAGATGAAGACAACCAGTGTAGTATCAGTCTCTGCATCAGTAGGCCTCAGCATACACAAAGGGGAAACCAAGGTCCTTAAATACAACACGGAGAACAGCAATCCAATCACTCTTGATGGCGAAACTCTGGAAGATGTAGAATTCTTCA